ATGTCAAACTGTGGCAGGGTGTCTCAGTGAGCTAGCACCATAAATCGGCATCAGTCCATCTAGTACAAGCAGTCACACACACACGTGCATGCACGTCGCTATATAAGTGCAATAATCTTGGAAGCGACGTAAATCCCAAATCCCCCCCACCACCAATTGTGCATGTTCATATTGGACCCACTATATATGCATTGGATGTCAGCACGTAACACGCACGTTATGCATGACTGGGTCTCGAAACTGAAACCTAACAGTGTAATCTAACCAGTTGATGATATGATAGTCCTTCCGCTTCGCAGACAACAGCGTGTTCTAACTTTACCGTAAGCTATTTTGAATAAAATTCAGCCATTTGAAATAAAACGAGTATAGCATCATTAAACATGCGTTAACAGCAGAAACAAAATGAAATGTGAAATATATGTTCATTTGTATCCAGAAAGTTCTTCTTTGGGTAATGAATGTTAGTTCAATCGTCGTTTGATAATTATTTTAGTCATAAATAATTTTTTGGACACATATGCTATTTTACGGTAATTATTCACGTATTGCCACGTGTTAAAACATTGAAGAGAAAATATGAACCAACTTGACTTTTCATTCTGTGACGATCTTAACGACACAACACGAAGAGAGACGGAGAAGTCAAGATGTCGTTTTCTTGGGGTAAATTCTGGGATCAGAAAAAATCAACTGGACCGACGGTAATAGACATTCATGTCGGTAAGGTGCAACTGTTTGTGGAGATGTATACAGTTATTCTAAGAATTAAATATTACTTGTACATTTGAATTTTGAGACTTAAATTCGGATACTTGTTTCTGCGACGCAATATATCAAATGCCCATTATCCATAAACGTGACCCGTGAAGATCCGGGTAAAAATTGGTCTACAGCAACCTATGCTTATCGTAAGAGGCGAGTAACGGGCTCGATTGCTGACTTGGCTGATGTCTTCGTATCCCAATTTCGTATACATCTATGTTCAGGGTGTCAATAACTGGGTTGACAAGTCAAGACTCGATTATTTACAGACCGACATCTTATGGCAGAAATATTGCTGAGTGCGGCGTTAACAACAAACAGACAAAAACATATTCTTTATGAAATAAATGTGTATTATACTCTGAAAGACAGAAGGATGTGAATTTTGTTTAACGCTGCAGTTAGCAATAGAGCTATGTCACGACGGTCTGTAAATAAGCGCGTCTTGACCAGATGATCCAGTGATTGATATGAGCATCGATCTACGCCATTGGGATACGATGACATGCATCAACCAAGTCCGCGAACCTTACCACCCGATAGTCGCCTCTTACGGCAAGCATGGGTTGCTGAAGGCCTATTCTAAACTGGGCTGCAAAAGAAAGTATAGGTCGAGTTCCATGATCGATAACAAAATAACAAGAAGAGGTTTTGTTATGAATTATAATAAATCTAGGGAGGGGTAAAAAAATGATTGATCAACCACAGTTTGAATGAAATTGTAGCACTAAAATATCGGCATTATTCCGTACCAGTACACACACACACACACACACACACACACACACACACACACACGTGCATGCACGTCGTTATACCCCTTTCACCTCACCTCATCTCATCTCACCTCACCTCACCTCACCTCACCTCACCTCACCTCACCTCACCATACACATGCACGCCGCTTTCAGACTGAAATATATCATCTCTCCTACCTCACTTCCCTGGAATGGGGTTCTAATAGAAGTCAGTCATTTGGATATTTATGTTGTCGATTTGCAATTCATGCTTGAACGTGTCTATTTATTTGACTACAGTCATCTTCCCGAGGTAAGGGAGTGAACTGACTTTAAAGTCAGTTAACTCCCTTACCTCGGGATGATGGACTTCAGTTGAATGAGACTGGACCTGTCCAGGCTGACGTGGTATCTGTATTCGTCATGTCCTGTTATTCATCGTTCTCATCTTCGGAGTATATAAACAAATGTATATATTTAAAAATATTAAAAATTACGTTTATGAACCCTGGCTGTGGTAGCAGCAGTAGTAGTAGTGAGTGAGTGAGTGAGTGAGTAAGTTTTGGTTTTACGCCGCTTTTAGCAATATTCCAGCAATATCACGGCGGGGGACACCAGAAATGGGCTTCACACATTGTACCCATGTCGGGAATCGAACCCTGGTCTTCGGCGTGACGATAATAGTAGTAGTAGTAGTAGTGTCGTTATTGTTTTTTTAAACTAAAACCGTAACAAGCTTTTATGTTATTAATATATTTCCGCTGGAGATGAATGTGTATTTTCTACTTTTATTGATAAGACATACAAAGTGTTGTGTTAACACTGCATTCGTTTAGATAAGGCAGTCTATTGAAGCCAGACATATTGGAGGTTTGTCATTTTGTTTAAATGAACATTTTTCAACAGTTTATATACCTTTACAGATAACAGCTAATGAAGTATATGTACTCCGCTTTCAGACTGAAATATATCATCTCGCCTACCTCACTTACCTGGAATGCCAACGCTATAGTGTTTTTAAAAGTGTTTTCTGCTCAAAACGCCACACGTTCTGAATATTCCGAAAATAGGCATGTTTTAACCTACATTTCGTCATATCAGTATTTGAAACCTCCTATCGAACAAGGCTGAAAAAGAAGTACTCTAGTTCGTGTGAACAGTTACAATTCCAGCGTGTACATGCATCTCTATAACGCTATACTACGTCAGGCGTTCCAGTCAACACAACACAGGTGTCAGGTAATCTCTCTATATGGATATAACAGTAAATGGAGATCGAACTTAACAGCTGGTGACAATCAAACGCCTATTGTGTACTTTCATCTGTGTATTAACAACCGAAACAGATTTATTTAGCGTTGTATTGCTATCAATATCAGCCTGTTACGCGACGAACACATGGCATTATATTACAGGTGATATAGAATAACATTACCAAAGAATGATCATGATGTCGTGCGATTTCATTATTAGATATTGAAACAAGGTTGTTTATTGTGACAAAATTATGCTTATTAATACATTTCGAAATAAACGTAAAATTACATTTACATCAAACTGTACTTATAATTATCTTTGTTTTAATGCGTAGTAGACGGTGTTAAAGATACTAAACGACTGCTGTGGCTATAAGTCCAATTTTCCCATGATAATTGTCATTTTGTGTGAATTTTATATATGACAGTTGTAAGAACATTAACGTTGTTTCATTTACGCCGCTTCGCGTTCTATTGATCGTTGGGAGAAAATCTCGTTTGAACACCTGGGGTTCTTATCAAAGTGATGCATCGATGAATTAACGCTCTTCCTTTTCTCTGGGTGTGTTATTAATCAACATGGGGTTGTAATAGAAGTCTGTCATTTGGATATTTATGTTGTCGATTTGTAATTCATGCTTGAACACACACACGTGGACTTCAGTTGAATGAGATTGGACCTGTCCAGGCTGACGTGGCATCTGTGTTCGTCATGTCCTGTTCATTCATCGTTCTCTTCTTCGGAGTATATAAAAAAAATATAAATATTAAAAAATATTAAAAATTACGTTTATGAAGCCTGGCTGTAGTAGCAGTAGAAATAGTAGTAAGTGAGTGAGTGAGTTTGGTTTTACGCCGCTTTTAGCAATATTTCGGCAATATCACGGCGAGGGACACAATAAATGGGCTTCACAAATTATACCAATCGAACCCTGGTCTTCGGCGTGACGGTAGTAGTAGTAGTAGTAGTAGTAGTAGTAGTAGTGTCGTTATTGTTTTTTAAACTAAAACCGTAACAAGCTTTTATGTTATTAATATATTTCCGCTGGAGATGAATGTGTATTTTCTACTTTTATTGATAAGACATACAAAGTGTTGTGTTCACAGTGCATTCGTTTAGATAAGGCAGTCTATAGAAGCCAGACATATTGGAGGTTTGTCATTTAGTTTAAATGAACATTTTTGCAACAGTTTATATACCTTTACAGATAACAGCTAATGAAGTATATTTCTATTACGACGGTGTCAAATACACCACTGGAACACGTGTTCGATGTTTTAATGGTGTCTGGTGCGTTAGATATGATATTTATTAGCTAGGGTGCGCTACTATTCATTTGAAAATCAGTAGAGTGTAAATGAGTGATTAATGTTGACGTGCTGGGACACAGCTGATGTGGGGGTTGATTGCGGGGACCGACCATTTGATATCCGGGGATGGTGACGGGCAGCTGGGATTTTGTATGGAGACTCCATATTTGTTTAGCTACAGCTGAAAAAAACAAATATTGATTAAATTATATAATTTAAATATCAGATAAAATATAATAGCGTAAATAGTTATTTTTTAAAAACCGTCTTGTAACAATGTATTGTTTGAATGTTTGTGGCAGACACGTTCTCTACAGTTTGGAGCAGAAATATTTGTTCAATAATTAACTGGGACAACACACACACACACACACACACACACACACACAGACACACATCCACACACACAGAGACATCCACACACACACACACACACACACAGACACGCGCACGCACACGCACACACACACATCCACACACACACACACATACATACACACGCACGCACACACACACACATGCGCACGCACCCCCCCCCCCCCCCCCCCACACACACACACACACACACGCACGCACACACCCCCCCACCCCCCCACCCCCCCCCCCCCCCCACCCCCCACCAATATGTTCATACCAGGGGAGAATTGTATATAGTCAGACAATTGACTTCATCGTGTCAAAGGTCAAAGGATGATAATTTTACTGATAACATCTTATACAAGACCAGTCAACCAATAATTTATGTAATGCATAAAAGTAATCGTTCAAAAACCTAAACTCCCAAGCGAAGTTGTTTTTCAAGTGATAACCACGTCACATTAAATTTGCAAAGGCACAATTTGACTCGTTAAAACTTCTCCATTCGTTATCGTTTGAAGCGGGTGAAAATCACGCTACGGCACATTTAACCTCTGACATGACCTTTGGCATGCGACCCCTGACCTCCAAAGCCGGAAGAGCATGGAAGGAATATCGTCTCAGTCATAAAACTTTTGATGTAAGTTAATGGGGTTTTGTTGAAACTTTAAGCAGTGTGTCATATTTTATTGACCTGTCGCCATCGACAGGTTGTAGAGGGGTGTATACTACGCGGGAAAATAGACAAATCGATATTCCAGTCAAAGAGATATGCAATGTCATTCCGTGTGATGCTGGTTGACGTGTTCCAATGAGGAGGCCTAAAACTGTACCGGGTGTTTTGTAAACATTTACGCCATAGGGGTTCAGCGCAGAGAAGGTGTCACGCACTCACTGTTTGACGAGCAGTGGTTTCACGCAGTCACAGTTTGCCACGAGTCCCAGGCGAAGGTATGTACAAGGATATCTCGAGCTTTGAGCTATTTCAGTGTTTCCTAATGAGTATTGGAATGTGCATGAGTACTATTCAATGTAGATTCTCACACCGTTATCAAGCTAGAGTGATTGCAACCATAGTGAAGAAAGGTATATGTGTGTGACATGTTGTGATAAGCAGATTAACGTTAACAACAACACGTAACAGATGACAAGTAGCATACAAATGATTGGCTAAACCCAGAGATACAGTAGGACTAATAGCACACAGGTAATGAAGCCAGATACATGTAAGCCTCAGAGCTCCAGATAAGCTTTTGGTGTTGTGGGTATTGTACCCAAGCATTTTAAAATCATTGGGTATCAGTAATTCTATCTGGGTATTCAAATTTCTGTTACCCACTAGATTTTACACATGTGGGTATTTAAGTTAAATATTTAAAAACACTATTCATCTAGTCCCTGCAAACTGGTGTCGTGTAGGTTCGAGAGCTTTATAGGACTCAAAAATACCTGGATACTTCCACAAGAAAATGTGATGGCAAATGATCATGATGTAACTGTCATCGTGGAGTTTGGCAAGGTTGACGGAATGCCCGTTTATAATTTCAAAATAAGTTGCTGATTTGCTAATCGAATACGCAGGGTTAATTCACAATATTTTGATGATACGCACAAGTTTTATATTTGTAGCGTATCTGTAATGTTCGTTGCGTATTTCATACGCTTGGATTTTATTTTACTGCGTATTTCTGCCTTTCTGATGCGTATTTCACGCAGATACGCAGCTTATCTGAAGCTCTGAAGCCTACAATAAGGATAAGGATTAACAGGATTAATAAGTTATTACAAGCTGATTGGATGCTAATTACAAAAGTCACTTTTACTTTTCAAGCTTCTAGAATTCCGATCAACGTTACCATGCATATTGTTCTGTGACTTCTGCATGATTCCACTCCAGCTTCTGTAAATAACTGAATTTACTGTAATATATAACACGTTTGAAGTTAGGTGCCTTAGAAATGAATTATTATTATGAATATTAATACTCAATGGCCCAAAACAATTTCTGGAGACCTGGCACTCTCAGAAATCAGTTTATTTCTATTCTAACAAAAAATACTTTTTGACAGTGTTTTGTATATGAAGTCAGTCACAGATGTACTTACTGTATTCGACGTAATAAGCGCCTCACTCTAATAAGCGCCCACGGCGACATTTGCTAATATTGGCTAGTGAACAATCCCAATTAGCACCCCTTCCGATTGATCAATGTACACAAGACTTATTTATTCGTGTATAATACGCACTTGTGTGTTATATGCACCCTTAATTATGGGCAATTAGATTCTGGAAAAATATATCTGTCGTACATAAACACTTCAGGCTGTCAGCATAAACCACGAAATTTATCTTTCAACTCTGTTTTTTTCACCAAAATGATATTCTAATAAGAGCCACCTATTTCTAATTTTGAGAGCGCCCTGGGCGCTTATTACGTCGAATACGGTATACACTTTGAAGTAATCTGGACAAATACATGGTAAATGAGAACACTTAATGCACAGTATTATTCCAAAATACATTATTGAAAAGATTGTGCAGGTAAATACAAAGTATGTATTTAAGTATGTATGTGTGTATGTATGCATGCGTGCATGTGTGTAAGTATGTAATTGTATGATAGTGTGAATTAGAGGGGCAGGCAATGTGTGTATGTATGCCGTAATTTAACATAGTATTTTAGATTTTCTACATATGCAGTGAGTATTATCACCTTAAAGACGGGTACTACAAGGTACTTACATCTATAACAGTCTCCTTGCCAGAAGCTTGTGTGTGTTAGGGTATTCATATCCATTGTTTGTAAAACATGTCAACAAGCAGATATCCACGCACTGTCCTGTTGTACCCTCGTCGGTTCATGCACGTGCTTGGTATACACGGAGGGACCTCCTTCATTACCGTCACGGTCGTAACACTAATGCAGATTACCGAATTAATCTGTTTTTTCATTAATAATTTTTTCAGTTATTACTGCTTACTGGGAGTTGATAGATCAGTCAATATGTAACGCGATAGATCTGAATATACCAACTATTGTAGCTGGGGACTTTAATCTCGATATTCTTAGAGAAAGTAAGAACAAAATAGATCTCTTACAAGCAACATATGGGTTGACCCAAATTATAACTGAGCCCACAGGTATACACCTACCTCCAGAACTTTGATTGATTTATTGTTCGTAACTAATGTAGACAGTGTGTGGGTGTATCTGATCCTATATGCAGTGATCATTGTCCTATATTCATAAAAAATTAAGGAAAACATACCTAGCAATGCAAATTTTAAAAGAAAAATCTAAAATTACAACATGGCTGATAATGAAAAAATTATTGACAGCTTAAGTGAGACAAAGTGGGATCATTTGTTATCATCCAGAAATGTTGACGTTATGGCAGAATGTTTTACCCTGATAATTATTGATGTATGCCCAATATATTTCTGCTAACCTAATATGACACTGTATGCATGACAGCTAATGACACCTTAACAAATTTCTTATACCAAAGAGTTTACACTGTCTAGTATTTTTATCGCACATGTCACGAAAACTTGACACTTACAACCGGTATAAATGACAGGCCCAGTACATATGTTTCCGATACAACGCTTTAATGTCAACAAAAACGTTAACAGTGGAATATATAATGCACTAAATGTGGAGCAATACCCTCCAAAATGTTTGAAATTCAAATTGGCAATTTGGATACCTTTAACATTAACAAAACTGATCTGATGCTCATGCTGTCAACCACTAGTCTGCATGGCCAGGGTTTCAGTGTCCAGACTTGCATGACAAGTGCAGGGCTAAACAACACTTACCATCAATTTCACATGACATTTTCTGTACAAGATGTCTTATTCCGTATGTACCCCTCAACAGTGATATTTATTTTGAATGCAGTTCTAGTCGGTTTCATAAAGGAGTTTCAAAATATGACTTCTAAATTTATATTTTATGTTTTCATGTGAACATGAATAGCTGTTATAATGTAATAATACAACTAGGGGTGACTATTGGTGCTATAGTGGGATCATTTGTTATCATCCAGAAATGTTGACATGGCAGAATGTTTTACCCGGACAGTTATTGACGTATGAAATAATCATATTCCTAACAAATGTGTAACAATTAGACCTAATGATCCACTATGGATCACTAGCAGGATACGTCGACTGATCAGGAAACGTAACAGAATTCATAAGGTTGCTAAAAAGCGTAACTTAGATTCTGACTGGACTCATTTTCGTCAAATAAGAAACCGTGTTATCTCCTATGTTCGCACTGCAAAGAGAAAATATGTACTCAAGATTGATAGTAAAATTAATGATGCGTACGGTGAAAAGGTATGGTTGCCGCTAGTTAAAAACTATTTAAGGGGCACCAGTAATGCAAAATTCCCTCTCATTAATTACCACGATATACCATATGATGATAAAAGGGGGATATTGCAAATGTGATGAACAATTATTTCTCTGACCAGGAATCTGATAACTATCCTGATAAAATTCTCCCTGATATTAAGCTTAAAACAGAAGAATCGCTCTCTACTATCATTCTAACAACAAAGGAAGTTCAAGATGTTCTCCTGTCTGTTGATGTAACTAAAGCAACAGGGCCCGACTGTATCGGCAATAGATTATTGAAATTAACTGCTTCAGCGATATCAGATCCACTTGCTAAATTGTTTAATGTATCCCTGGACATTTCTATTTTTCTGGTAAGTTGGAAAGAAGCTTCCTACTTACTATTTATAAGAAAGGTAATATTAATGAATATAGTAATTATAGACCTGTAGCTCTCACGTGTTGTGTGGCAAAGATATTTGAAAAATGTGTTTTTAAATAGGTTTTTAATGACTTAAGAGAGAATAATTTTCAATCGTGTTTCATGCCAGGAGATTCTACCGCTAACCAGCTGACTTACTTATGTGATTTTATTGCTAGAGAATTGGATAAAGGCAAAGAAATCAGAGCAGTCTTTTGCGACAATAGTTAGGCCTTTGATAAAGTTTGGCATGGAGGCCTTATCCATAAACTGGTTTGAAAGCTACCTAAAAAATAGATGTCAACGGGTTGTTATCAATGGGTATAGTTCAGACTTACAACCAGTTATGGCCGGAGTTCCATAAGGGTCAGTTTTAGGACCGCTACTGTTTTTAATCTTCATGAACGACATTATAGACGATATTGATAGTACTATTAGACTGTTTGCCGATGACACATCCCTATACGTCGTGGTAAAAGATCCACATACAGCAGCACATTGTCTGAATAACGATCTAATCAGAATATCCTCTTGTGCAGAAAACTGGCAGGTCGATTTCAACCCTAATAAAACAATATATATTTAATTTTCACGGAAGATTCTTCCTCTTGTAAAACCAGTTTTGAAAATGAGTAACACTACAGTTCAGGAAGTTCTTTCTCATGAACATCTCAGACGTACTCTCCAAGAAGATTGTATGTGGAACAATCACATTGATAGCCTAGTTAAGAAAGTCAGTCCAATGATTCACTGTCTCAGGAGTTTCAAGTATCGTTTAAATAGAAAAACACCGGATATTATGTATGAATCTAGATGCACTCAGAACAATTTGTGGGGCTGTTCGTGGAACTAGTCACGGTAAACTTTATAAAGAAACAAATCTTACGTCATTAGAAGAAAGAAGGCATTTTCAAAAGTTAAATATCTTTTATAAAATGGTTAACAATCTAGTACCGGATTATCTCTCGTCCTTAGAGTGTCGAATGCAAGTGATTATAATTTGAGAAACAGCTCACAGCTGCAAAACATAAAGTGTAAAACAAATAATTATGCCACATCATTTATTCCAGATACAGCTAATATTTGGAACTCACTACCTATTGAATACACCAATGCCAGTAGCTTAGGAAGTTTTAAAGGTTTTATAAACAGCAATGATAAGATTGGTATATACTTTGATGTA